TGTAGCCAGTGATTACTATATTAATTCCAATTTCAACGACATCGCTGTTATTGTCGAACACTGATTTAGATTCCAATGGTTTTCTCTAATAATACTCTAATAATATTGTACATTTTCATATCAAACCTTCAAATAATATACATAACATACTGTATAATCATATTCTCAAACATCAAAAGAAACGAATCTAAATTATAACAATTTTTATATAACAACAAAAATATACAACATTGAACAAATTAATTTCTTCATTCCTCTACAATTTTTTAAATAATATTATTTTAATATAATAGAATCAATAATTATCATCCTACACACATATTTCCCCAATTTCTAAAAACTTGAATTTCCCGCTGAAATTCTTATACTCATAATTGAAGCAGAAACTATCGACAATTAAAACTGTAGGTGATTTCACGTAATTCGCTTATAAGTATGTAACAATTGGAATGCATGTGAGAGCTATAGAAAACGAAACTGATTTTATGCTTTCTGCAATAATAAATGTATTAGAAAGTGAAGCAAGCAAGAAAATGTCACAAATCTCTAAGGATTCTTTTCTTATTTTGTTTTATGTTAGACTTCAATGGAAATATTTCGTTATTATATGGAATAACTAGATTTGTAATAAACTAAATTTAATTAAAACTTTAATTCATGAATCGGGTAAGAAAATATCATAAATCAGTAGAGTTCCGGTTTTATGTGGCGCTTCCTGTCTCCAAAATCCTAACTTCATCCCTTACGCATATCTCTATAACTTCACCCTATTATTATCTCTCTTACTCCTCCAAGAATTCCATCCCTCAGAGGGTTGAGGGATTTATTTACAAAATGATTGTTTATTAAATAAAATTTGCTAATACAAAAATATTTATTTTTATTAAAGAATCAATACGCGTCTGTCTACACAGAATTGCTTCCTCGTATCAACCAGTTTATACTCATTCCAAGATTAAAGATTAAATTTCGTTTGCGAACTCCTACATAATACAATATATATATTGGAAATGAAGCGACTACGTATTTATCGAGCGCAAACGCTTCCAGGTAAAATTTCGTGATCAAACCAAAAGCAATGCATTTGTTTTTCCAAAACAAACATACAGATTGTTATCCTCTTCGAGTACAATAATAAATTTTCTAGAAGTATACTGCGTGTAATTAGATATCGCTTGGAACGTAATAGTAAATAATAAAATATTATATTTCCATTAAACGCGCGTAATTAAAAGTGAATTATAGTGAGCCGTTTAAATTTGATGCAGTGTCCATTCATTTTTTTTTCCAATATTTATTTTACGAGTCTCCATGAAAAGCTGAACGCAAATAAAAAAAAACTAATATTAAATATTTCATCGCGCTGTAAAATAATCTACGAATTGCCTAAAAAGCCGTAACCTTAATAACTATGCTTGCACAAATTGATTGTACCAATTATTACGCAGTTTGCGTAACGAAATACTTTGTTTTCTGGTAATTAAAGCTTGTTTCCGTAATGAATTTAAAGTTGAATAAAGACAACAATGTAGCTTTTTATAACATTTATCGAGTTTTAATA